AAGGATTTTGTAAACTGAGATTTTTGTTTATTATTCAGATTTTAAAATTGATTTTTTTTCTCTATATGAATACCACGGAAAAATCACTATACCGATATACATACTATTTATTAACATACTTTATATTTATAACTGTCTGTGCACGTTTTAGAAATTTAAAATAATAGATTATAACAATCGAGTAGATTATAGATTGATATGTTTTATATTATTTACAATAAAAGAATAATAAAAAAATATTTAAATATCCTTTATATTTTAGTAATTTTAAAAAATTTGGAAAATAAATACATAAATTATAATAATTTATAAATATTCAATGATTTATCACTAAAACAAACACCTAACAAGTGAATGACAATCTCTAACACAAACCTCATACTCATTTTTAAGTAATAATTGATAATTTTATAAGCCGTTTCAAAAATGTCAAGTCAATATAAGTTTGTTGAATTTACAGATTTAAGTAAATACCTATAATAAAGACACAAAGTAGGGACGTTTAAATTTATAAAGGCACCTTCGCTCATTAACAAAATGAATGAAAGCCAAAGAGCTCATAGGACTTTTGAAAAGTTTTGATAACTTACTAGGAAATTATTTATACAAATTTATTTTTTGTTTATTTATTTTGAAACTACATCTAATCCTCCCTCTCCAGAGTATATATATACTATAGCTTAACTTACTCTGACATGTAAAATGTATTCTGTACAAAGTAACAACACACCAAAGGAGTATAACCCAAGTAATACATAATAATTAATATCTATTAATATAATGATAAATGATTTTTCACCTTAGTTTATATTATATCTAAGTACCTACGTTAATATTATGATAATACATTGAATTCTTCTTTTACTGCACTAAAAATTCCAGATTGTGCCACTAGAAAGTGCATAATTATCATACACTTTTATGCATTAACGTTTATATATAGGCATTTATTTTATTTGTCTTAAAAAGAACGATGTATAATTATGATGTTCTTACATGCTAAATTAATTATTAATAGAAAATTTTTATATTATCATTTGTGAGATTTTAACTCTCGTTAAAATGTATTTACTGTTTTAGCGACTTCGAATTAATAACAAAATAAGCGTAAATGCATCAGCGTATACTGTATAGCATTTACATCAGTGGGTGGTCTGAAGATTTTTATAATACGATATACTACAATGATACTTATCAATAGGTTAAGTAAATTATAGTCTAACATAAGGTAAGGATGTAAACATAGCATATTGTAGAAAAGTACCTGTACATGTAATCTGTATTTTATACGGTATTTAAACCATAGCCATTGGCAATGGGTATTTAAACACAGACGTATGTCAGCGAACTACCACTTCGAGATGGTCTTCCTTTGATTAATTTTACACTCACGTCAAAATATAGTTAACGAATATAACACTCATATTATATTGAAATTCACGATGCGTACAACACACCCACGGTCTGTTGTTGTCAATCATTGAGAGGAGATCGACGTAAATTGGCAGATTACCAACGCAGTTTTTAATATTACTACTATTTATTTTAAATAAAACGGCAACCATGATTTTCTCATTAACTACTTGTATTACATATACATTAAAAATAACTCAAAATCGTTAATATTACCAAAAACTATACTCTACGTTTAGAAGCGACTAGGGCGGCATTCAGTTTTTATCGGTAGCACGCAAATCACAAACATAACGTTTGCCCCACTTAATCAACCATCAATAATTAATACAAAACGATGCTAGACCCATGTGCAGAAATCGACCGCCTGGCTCGCTTTTAAACGTGAATAGAGTATATAACATTGTGTATTTGTGTCTATTTTTTAAAATCTAAAATCTAAAACAATTACATTTTATATAGGTAACCAATAAATATAATATAATATAGTAACAAAATTACATAATTCAAGATAATATTGAGTAACATGGAAAAGTAATTGGAATGAATATCCATTATTCATACAATTTTATTAAAATTAAATTATGTAAAACGTAAGTTGAATAATACACACAATACATATTCATGATATTTATTGAATATAGGTATATTATTGAACAAATTTACCAATTAGATAAGAGATTTTTAGTGTTTTAATTATCACATATTTATTTATTAACTAAGTAATGAAATGTATCAATAATAATATACCTAATAAATAAATCACTTCTATTTTGAAAAGTAATACATAATCGATATCAATAATGACTAAACAAGACTAGAAAAAATGTTGAATAAACTTATCAAACGGTAACAGTGTAAAAAATAATTGTCTTTTAAAATTATCTACAACAATAATATAGATAAATATACAACATTATATACCTAACCTATTACATATTTTATATATCATATAAAGCTAATGAATACAATATTAATATATTAAAACGTATGTCAAGTTATAATAATTTCTAGATTGGACCCTAGGTTTTTATAATAGCGCTAACATTATATAAATATATATGATATACCCATATTATAGTATTGTATAATAATTAAATTCAATATGTTTAATGTATTGGTGTTTATAATTACTATAGTAATGAAATTATATTCATAGGATTTTTACCTACGTTAAGAGATTTAAAAGTTGTTTACAATAATAATAACACACAATCTATAATAAATATAAAGCAGAAAAAAACATTACAGATAGGAACATAAATTTAAATATAATTAAAATTTAAAAGTGAAGGTATGTAATAAATTTATAATAATATTGTTTTGAATACTATGGTATCAACCTAAAACCTTGTATGCTACTTACTGAAATTTGATGCATGCTATATGCTAATTGTAAGGTTATTTAATTATAACTTACATTTTTATTGCTGCATGATAAGTAGGCTTAGAGGCTTCTAACATTTGCATTTTTTTTTCTAAATCGTATAAAAAGTAGCAGAGTCAAAAATAAATCCTGATCATGTTATATAGAATCTAATCCAAAATTTGATAGTGCATATTTTGCATATCTTAATGGTTTTTCTTATTAAAGCATAATTTAGAAGTATGTAACTTTTAAGCACTTTGAAAGCATTGAAAGTATTTATTTATAAAGACGATTTACATAGTTCAAATGCATACGTGTTGAGTATATAACTATAGACTATAGTCAACGTAGTATATTAAGCAATTATTGTAAAATAGTTAATTTATCGTATTTTCTTTGATAGGACCCGAATTTACCAGTGATTAGATAAAATGATAAATTAATTTTATAGTCTATATTCTATAATATAAACCACGTTCTATTATTTTATAAAATTGTATTGGTCGACCATTGTTTATCGTGATTTCTTGTTTACGGTTGTGTTGTTAAAATGCTGAAGATACAACAATCAAAAAGTAGCCGTAAGTTTTGTAAAATAAGGAAAAGAAGAGTTCTTTTAATCAAGATTTAGGAAACTTGAGGACATAGATAAAATTTACGAAAATCTAACAAATGATAATCTAGTATTCTTTAACTATGCACCACTTTGTTCCGTAAATGTGTGGAACGAACCTTTTCAAAAAAAAAAATAATAATAACTGCTACAGGTTTATGTTTGAAAACATAAAAATGTCTAATAGTACAGTGCAATTCTCAAGGTAAACAATTTGTAGTGAACAATTTAAAAAATAAAAATATTATAAACCATTACTCTGTTTTGTATTTTAGGCACACAATCAAGTATTAAATTTGATCAATAACTCTCAAATAATCAAAACGTATTTTTTTACGCAAGTATCATTTATAATTTAAATAATAATAATCATAAATAGTTATAAATAAATTTTTTATTGGTAGATAAAAAAATTACATAATTGCATGTTTTTTTAGAGCTAGAAGTCCCTAAGCCTCCAAATAAGTCGTAAGATATTTATAATTGTTAAATATTATTGTGATTTTTATTTTCTTAAGAATTTTTATGTTGTTTTAAAAAACTTCTAACATTTTATTTTAATGAATTAATAATGACTGCAATTATCCATCTTAAAATCAAGCAATCTAATATATATGTTGATCCAAGTGTTTTTATTATATAATCAATTTAATGTGTCTCCATGAAAATTAAAACATTTGAGTCTGTTCTATAAATTTTATTTACTTATCATTTGTATCTTTTACTTTACAGACAAAATTAATTTTAAATTAAAAATTAACATGCAGTACAACTATGTTTGGTTTCAAAACTAATGGTATCGTAGTAAGTAGCATACAAGTTTAGTACCAATACAATATAATACATAATATTTACTGTTCAGTAATAAAATATTGAAAACAAATAAACTAGAATGTATTTGAGAAAAAAATAATTCCAACAAATTATTTTCCTTGCTTTAAATATATAATAGGTATCTAAAATTTTTTTTTAAATTTCAATAAAGAATTATTAAATAAACAAATAGTAATAAATGTGTGAGAAATATGTGTAGAAGTAAATTACTTAATATGTTGTTATTTATAAATTATAAATATTTTCATTGTGGTTGTAATTTTTTATTACATGCATAATATTGCAAATAAGACTAAAACAATATAATATTCAAAATAAAATACTTTAATGTAATAGATATTAATATGAATTAAGAAACTATAGTTGAGGAATAATGGAAATAAATAATTTAAAAACAATTTATAATAAGATATGAAATTAAATTTTAATTATTGGCGACTTTCAGATTAACGAGTATTTTAAATATCATTAATTTATTTTGTAGAAAATTTGAATACACCAACACCCTGTTTAAAAAAATTTGTCAGTAAGCTCTAGGAACTCTATTTGTTATTAAACATTTGTGTCTAGGATACAAACCTATTAAATGTAACTAAAAAGTAATGGAACTACAAAAAAAAAAAAAAGAAAATACTATTTCAACTGTCTACAATACTATAAATAAAACTAACTTCGAGTTTAATTTGATTCACAATCAATTCATGCCATACCCACAATAATTTTTTTAGAAATTAAAGTTTATAAGGTATAATGCATTATATGTAGGTAGGTAGTAGTTTTAAAAAATATTAACAATAAAATCTATAAATAAATACTGAAATGTAATTACTGGATTATAAATATAAGAATCTATGGATGGATCCAGCCCCATAAAATGGGAGTGGAAACTTTATAATCATTTAACAAACAAAATTTTGAAACTACACTACTTATAAACCATTATAACACCATTTAATATAGAGGGATGATGAGAGAAAATTTGCTATAAATTAATATATTTTGAAATAGAATTTTTTAAAACACACTTCTATATGTAAATTTTATAACAATTGTTTTACTACAAAATGAAAAATAAATAAATTCAAAAACAATAGGGAGATGATTGATCTAATTGTGCCCTCCTATGGATTTACTATTGTAAATATCAATTAAAAAAATATGGATTTTTAGAAGTTGATTATTATTTTGATTTTTTTAGTATTGAAAAGTCAAGTACTTATTTACTGACACTATTGGATTGTCAGCTTCAATATTTTAATTTTAACTGATGTATATAATTTTTATCTTAAATAATTTATTGAAATTGGCAATCAATAATTTTGGTCGCTTTGGTAATACTTATCAACAATGGATAATGTGAATCTGCATCATACGATGGATTGTAGAGAATTTGTTTAGAGTGACGTTCCCATACCAGAGAGTTGTAGTTTTGTTGTATGGTGCATATCAAACCCTCTTGCTGTGCCATGTTTATGAACTCGTACAAAGTAGTTCCTCGTTTTGGTGCTGCAACCAATGCAACTCCATCAAATGATAATGATGCAGCAATAGTATGCACCAAATCGTCACGAGCTTCATCAAAAAACAGGCAATCAGCGGCTAATACCACATCGTAATGACAAATGTTTGCAGGTCTTTGGTCCCATTTCAACACCTAATCAGCGAATGTTACCATTAGTTCCAGAATAAATTGAAAATTCAATTATTGACTGGTTCATTTCAGGCTACTAAACTTCTTCAAAAGCATGCTTATAAATGAGAAAGAGTTCAGATTGTTCCACTACAACTAGGTATTTGATTAACACAAACAAACAGTGAGATCAAAATTAAATAAAAAAAAATGGATAAAAACAAATGATTAGATTTATTTAACCCAAATCCAATCAAATTAAATTAAAATAGGTACTAATAATTACAAACAATGAATAAATATGCCAGGTTAATAACAAAAAATGGAAATAATAATAATAATAATAGAAAAAAAATAAGATTAATACACGTAGTAATAAAAGAACAACAAACGAGTCTACATGTATTGGTGTCATTACTTTAATAACAATATGCAATGTTCATTATAACTAACCGAACAAGTAACTTTGGTTGTGAACACATTTTTCTCAAGTATACGCTCAACATTGTACACAGAATTCGGATTTCCATCAGTCAAATGAACATCACTACAAAAACCATATAAAGCAGCCATTATACCTGCCAAACAGCTCATACCACCGCCCAGCTCAAGTACAGTCTTATCTCTGAATAAATCCAGATTTGATAGTACATAATAAGCTAGTACTTCTTCAGATGGCCATATACGAACATTTCCAGTATTGTTAAAGCCCATAAGTTCCTCAGGCGTAACAATTATAGGAGATCGACATACAATTGCTGAGAAATTATTGTTTTGAACACATGAAGAATATTTAGACCATTCAGTATTGATGCATTCAATATTAAAGAGATCATAGCTTATTTGTGATGCAAATATTTGGTCTTGACATTTTTTACTGACTGTATTTGCCAATAATTTCCATCTATTACGTGCACGTTCTTTAGCATTCATTATTCAACATATTATTATAATTTTTGACTTAAATTAATGGTATTTTTTTTTTTGATTATATATCACAGAAAATGTCCTGCAAGAAACAGGAAAATAAAATAATATTTATAGATGGTACTCGGTACTTTTAATCTAATTATTCAAATATTATCCTGTAAGATGAGATTAAATAATTAACAGAAGATATAGGAATTTAAAATATTTGTGAGCAATTTAAATTAGTATTTAAAATAATGAGAAATGTTACATCCATAATTTAAAACAAATATTAATATATTAGTAAGACAATAAATAATAAGTAGGTATTATAATTAGGTTTAAATACATTTTGAAAAAATTAGTGTTAAATAATTAATTTATTAATTAAAATTAAAAGTACCTAAGTACCTACCTAACCTATCATATTTTACAATTACAAGAATCATAGAATCATAGTATAATAGTATAAATCAAATCATAATATAGATATTTAAATACAGAATTTTAATATAAATCTAATCAACCTAAATGTGGATATATTGTGTAAAAATACCATAAATCCAATAGATTTAAGTGTATCTTGTATACCTGCTAAAATACCACTATTATTTTTCAAAGTCGCTGAAACACAAATACCTTTCTACAATTACCTATAATTTTACTTTTTATAGTTTATTTAATAAAAAAAATTAATTAACTAATGCAAACCTTAATAACAGGTTATATGTTTTTAATTTTAATTTTAGATAGTGTACATTTAATAATTTTCATATTATTATTAATATAATAGTTATTAACAATAGTAACAAAAGATAGTACTTACATTTTTGGTTTATGTCTATGTAACAACTTACAGAAAAGAAAATACACAATATTTTACATTATTAATTCAATATAACACTACCCAAGCAAGAACGTTTTAAAACAAACGTTCAAAAAAACTTAAAACACCCAAGTTAAAATAATCACTACTATAGTTAGTATAGTTACAAAAATTAGAATTAGGAGGGGCAGAGTAATATTGATATCCTTGCCAAGATGGCCAACTTATGATTATGATTTATGACTTTATAATAATATATCCTACTCACAAATTTACATTGAAAAAAAAAATATTACAAAAAATATTAATTAATAATATCTATATTATTTGTTAGTTACGTGTAAATGTGGTTTCTAAGAACATTATCAATCTCTCATTAAAAAATCTTATTTTGTCATCAAAAAATATAAAAACAAAAACTAAAGCGGATTGATACCTGTCCTATCCACCATGATAAAAATCATTGTTTATCAAATTTATTATCATTTCCTGTCGTCATGTTATCATTGTGAAAACCTTAAACCACAAGAAAATCAAATAGAAATTCTTGACTCTCACCAGAAGGCAGAAAGCCGGCTTCTTCTTTGGTCAAAATGAAAGCTTACAGACGGCTTTGTAATTATGCTACAGCGGCAGTAAAACAAGAAACACAATATCAGATTCCAAAAGCCGCACGCACGGAAAAGAAAAATCCGGTTTGTTACTTAACATTTACACATTTTATATTTTATCATTGTATTACTGTTAATCAATACTGTAATTTCTAGGGAGACCATGACAGCCGTGATGTATCAAAATTTTATACCATAGATCCAAAAACTGTTAGTAATATATTTCAAACTGGTGGTATACCAAAACCTTTTACCGAACAAACTAAAATGTTTGCTGAAACTGCCTTGATGATACGAGAGCCAGCGTTGGAAATTATTAACAGTTTGAAATCGACTGATTTTCAAAAACCAGCTGTTCGATATTTATTATGTATCCTTTTAAAATAATGTTTCTATTATTGAATTTATTGTTAATACATAGTCGAAACAAATTGTCCTTATATTATTAATGTATAGACGGACAAACGGGTAGCGGTAAATCACTCAGTCTTGCTCATATACTCCATTATGCTTATAGCTCAAAATTCATTTTATATCACATCCCTTATGGTATGTTTATATTCAATACTTCATCATTTTTAAGATTTTTTTAACAAAACAATTTTTTTTTTTTAGTTCCAATATGGCTTAAATATGATCGTAAAGAAGTTAATTGGTCATCTTCCAAAAATGGTATGGCTGACATACCGTTAATAGCAGCTCAATGGTTAAAACATTTTATGCATCAAAATAGTGCTTTATTAGATGAATTGAATGTAACTATTTAATCAAGGAATTATAATTGTATCATTTTATTGATCTGTTTTGTTTTTTTTGTTTTTTTTGTTTCATTAGCTTACTACAAGTCAAGATTATGTTTGGAGTCAGCGAGAAACTACGCCCAAAGGAACTACACTCAATGAATTAATTACACATGGCATAAATAGAGCTAAATATGCATGTGATTGCATGGATATACTTCTGAATGAGTTAAAAGCTCACTGTTCAAACAATAAGTAAGTTTACTTCATTATTAATATTATGATTTAATTGTTGATAATTCTTTTAACAAATTATAGTAAATAAGTAAATTTTAACGGTTAATACATGTGACAAATAAATAGTTATAAATAGAAGTTGAGTCTGAAAATTTAGTAATTTTTTTTAATTACTTTTGCTACACAAGTTTAAAATATACAAATAAATTTATAGAGACTTAGTATTTCCAAAATTCCATTTTATTTGCATATATAAATTTATAGTTCTTGTAGTTCTTTTAATATATTATACTATACAATTATGGTAAAAATTAAGTATGAAATAAGTTATTTTTAAAAAGTATTATGTTTAAATTAGTCACAAATTCATTATTAGCAATATTAAAATGTATTTTACTATTAATTGTATTCTTTAAACACTCATGTAATATATTACCGAGGTCTTGTTATTACTTGATGACTAAAAAAGGATCAATATTAAACTTCATTTTAAATAAAATTAATTATTCATTGAAATTATTTTTAATTTTTTCACAACACTACTTAGTACATACATTGTACAATAATGTACATTGACTTCTGGAAGCTTACAGAATTATTGTAATATAGTTATTACTTATTAGTTTCATAGAAAATCATTGAATTCATGTTCAATAAAATAAAAAACAATACAATGCACAATATTATTTTATCATTTCTAATCAGTGATAATTAAAAATTATTAAAATAAAAGTTATTAATGTCAAATTCAAATTTGTTAATATGTGATTAAATACTCGTTGTCAAATAGCAAAAATTTCAATCATCAATTTAATTGTTTTAACTTACTTTATTAAAATCGATTTTTTTACACAAATTAAATCTATCATTTCTTGGCTTATTTTAATAAGTAGTGTTTCTTTTATTTAGCAGAATATCTTTAAAAGACAGTGTAACAAAAAATATTGAATATCAATTCTCAAAATATTTTAGTTATTGCACAATTTGGGAAACTGGTAAAAAATATTGCTTTTCCACTATAATTTGGTTAACTAAATATATATACATTATACTTAATATTTTTGATTTTAAATACATTTATAAAATATACTCGCTCATATTAAAAATATATTAGTTTAAAAAAATTTATCTTCTTTAAATGCAATTTATTAAATAATCATGTTTAATGGATATATAAATACATAATTATTTTAATTTTAGATGCAAAATGTTAGTAGCAATAGATGGATTTAATGCATTCTTCAATGAAAAAACCGATTTAAAAACAGAAGACAGGGTTAAAGTAACTCCTCAACAAATCACTATGGTTCAAACGGGATTATCAGCTGTACTTTCTGATTGGGTAATATATACTATACTGATTATAAAAAACAAATTATAACATAAATTTGTTATATATTATGTTAAATACTAAATAGTTAATTTTGCTATTTTTTATTCTAGAATAATGGTGCTATAGTTATGGTCACCTCACCTAGAGCTGCTTTAAATACAAAAAGAGAGTCTCATTTACCTATTTACCTCATTGGACGACAAGTAAGACAAAATCTTGTCATTTTTTTTTTTTTTTTAATATTATTTTATTAAATTAAGCAATTATATTGATAAAATAATGTCTATGAAAAAAGTTATGATAGTTTGTTATTTTATTTAATTATAATATAGTACTGAAACAGAAATTAGAAATGATACACATTTCAACATTTTTATTGTTATTTTAGATTATAATACAATAATAAATTATTACATTAAAAAGTAAATAACACCAATACATTTTTTTATTTTTTTCAATTACTGAAATACATATTGTTTGTTTAAATGTAAAATACTATTAATCAAAGTATATTTATTCTTAACTATACTATTTATTATTACTTATAATTATTTTACTATATTTTTTCAGGGATTTGAACATATTGATCCATTTATTCCAGTGATGGTTCCAGAACTTTCTACTGCAGAATTTAATAACATGTTAGATTATTATGAAGAAAAAAGATGGTTACAAAAAACTAATGGTAGAAAAGAGCTAGAATTCTTAACTTCAAAACTACCTGCTGAATTAATGGCTAGATGTGCACCATTGTAAAAATATATATTCTTTGTTTCTTGTTAATATTTAAGTAGGATAGAATTTTCTATACAATTGATTTTTATGGAAATGTAATTATGCATTAACATATATTGTCATAATAAAAAATGAAAACAATTAAGCGTTTTTAAATCAAAATTAGTGAATACCATTTTGGAAGAGCATAATGTTTTCTTCTTTATATTGAGCTTTTCTTATTTGATAGTTACATATTATTGAATATAATTATTAAAGTTAACTACATAATATTTGATATGATTAAAAAAAGCAAGTTAATTAGATACTAGTATTAAAATATTTGACTTGTTTGGTAAATGCACATTCTACATAAATTATTTTTATAATCTATTACATATGCATATGAAAACCGCTTTTAATTTAACTATAAATTATTTTATATTTCAAAGCTATGTAGTAGAATCTTTAATGATATTATGATGATATATAAACAAAATACATGAGTATTTTTAATTGTTACAACATTTTACTGAACTTTACATTTTTATAAACATTAAATTTAAAATTAGGAATATAAACGATAACATCAAAATTTTCAAAAATGTATTTTGTTTAGTGTAAATTAAAATATTTTAGTAAATTTATGAAGTACATAATTTAGAAATCATTTAAATAACAATATATTTTTTATCAATGAAGGTGTTATATAAAACTATTGAAACATCATGGACTACTTGCAATGAATATTATTCGTAAAAAATTAAAAATATAATATTGTAAAACCTGCAATATGTATGTTCCTAGTTTCGCTCAAAATCTAAAATATGTTTGAGAGTTATTATCTCATAAACCCATAATTTGAATTAAAATGGGCTCATATCTATTTTTTTAATGTACCTATCTTACTTTTTGTATGTATATAAATTTAAATGTTGTTAAAAACATGAAAATGGAGCAAAAATGCATTCATGTCATGTTTATTGTCAGCATCATGAACAAGAGACTGTCTCACTTGTACCTCTTAAATAGTTGTTTGGTTAAACATAATCAGACCCCCTAGGCTTCTAACATCAACCTAAAACCACATTTTAGAAACCACTAATGTAGACTAATATAGTATACCATTCACACTAAAAAACCTGTGCTAAATTTAAAATGTTGAGAAGTTTAGATCTCTGCTTTCAAAAGAATTAAGAAAATAAGGGATCATTTGAACATAATATCTCATATGTGTTATCAGTTATCACCAACCTTCATCGTACAATTAATTAAAAATAATAACGTATTTCTTATATCCTTACATGGTGACCTTATACTATAAATCGTTTTTTAAATATCTTTTATGTAATTAAAAATTAATAATATGACATCAACTAATATTCATGAAATCTCTATACGTTTGGTTTAAGCAAACTAATAAAGCTTGCAATTTGACAAAATATTGATAATTTATACAGTACTTTAAAAAAACTGAATCTTGATTTTTGACTTACAATTATTTTTTCACTAGAATTTC